GCCTGTGAATTAGCTATAACTTAATAACACATAGAGATTTGTGGCTGGAATTGAAATTCACAGAGTTCCAATAGCATATAAGTGATTCAAATAAAGGATATTTTTAAACTTAAAAACTTAAAATGTTGTTAAAGGGAGATCCAAAAGCTAGCACGAGTGCTAGTCGGGATTGGTTCTCCAAGTTTCTAAAACTGTATGCAAATTCCTATTGATATTTATTTTGACTTAAAGGTAATACAAAGTTTTGGTATGGGGTCGTGAATTTGGTTCAAATGGAAGCACATACGATCCTACAATATTCAGTGATCGTTGTCGCGGTCGAAATCGACTCTAAAGTTATGAAATTACAAAAAATAAACACTTTATGTTGAATAGCTCCCTCTCAAGGTCGAGATATTAATCAAGCTATAAAACAATGTTTATTGACTAAAGTCGACCGATTAGCTATTCACGTTCGTAAGTTATATACCACAACTACATACTCTAAGATTTTCATGGTTGCAGCTACCATTGTACGGCCGTAGGAGCTATTTGAAATTTATTAACATTTACCGGGAGCACCGGTAAATCTTTATATTCAATTTTTCTCGAAAGCAGAAGTGTTTTAGGGGCTAAAATTTCTGATGTTTTTAATACATCCACAGGGGCATCCAAATATATCAAAATTGTAAAGAATCACTATCCACCCATTTTTCAAAATTTCCCAAAACTTTGTATTACCTTTAATATCATATTATATCATATTAATATCTTTAAAAAAATATACCAAAAAAAGAAGGAGAGGTTATTTCTGTACATAATTTCATAGACCCATCATGTTTCCCAGATATAATGTTAACAATTTACATCACATGACCCCTTTCACAAAGAAAAGCTCTAGCACGTATCTAGCTTGCAATCACATAAACTAACCAGACACAAAGGGTTGGAATTACAAGACTACTTAGTACATACTGCATACCATATAGCCCCAAGTACATTGCACTATATATAGCTGCTCTTACAAATGACAAGCATTGCTTTTCAGTGGACCACTCTCTTTCCAATATGTATTCCTAATTTGTTGTAAATGTTTATAATTGATTTGTAATTGTTTCGTTGGAAATATAAATAAATTGAATTAAATGGTCCAGTGATCTCATTCAAACTATACATTTCAAAAGGACAGATTCTTATCAGCTTTTCTTCTTTCAATAATTAGCAACACTGATTTTAAACTGAACAGGATATACATACATTTAGATTATTTACAATATAAAAATGGAAAAACAGTGATTTCAACTTTTCAAAAGGTTGACACTTTTTTTGTAAAGACCGAGCAGGAATGTTATAACAAGTGTGTTACAAATTATTCTCTCTCTCTGCGTAAAGGATTATTTATTAAATAAATCTACTAGACATTCTACATACTCTAATTTTCAAACAAAATTACGTGAATACAGTTTCAATGAGTATTGGGAAAACCTAATCCACTTTGAAACAATTCTAGAGCTTCTAATATACCATTTTATATACCGGTATTATTAAATAAATGATAGCTCTTTACTTTTATAGTGTACCATTCACCTGTCACCTATAATGTATAACATCAACCTAAAAACACTTATGACATTCTATGCATAAACAGTTATGAAGTATGAATAAATTAAACGATAAGTATAAGGCTCAGATACAGCATGGAACCAAAGTCGGACTTGGATTCTGTGCGATCCCTATTCTATGTAAGTGCGTATGTGTGCATTAACGAGTCTACTCGATAAGACCTTTTACTGTTCCCTTAGAATGTATTCTAATTGAAATATATCTTTGTAGAAGTAATATTTGAAGCTCATAATTTGAATGAGTATAGTGTCATGGAACACATTACATCCAGAGCGAACCATGTTCTGATGATTGTTACGTGTGATGTCTATCATCTTCTTCATCTCTCTTGACTGCACAGTCCAGTAATAATAATAATAATATTAGTACATTTATAGAGCGCAGAAACTATCCAACATTAGATATATATTCTACTGCGCTACAAGAGTTCCTGATATGCTTAGATTTACAGTACAGTTAATTAAAAAGATGTGTTTTCAGTAGACCCCACAATGCTTGCTTAACTCAAACTGAACTGCGTCCTAATCTGCTTGACCACTCTTAAACTTTAAACACCCTATGAAAATACGACTTGTTATTATTGGAAAGCTGAATGAACGTAGAATACAAATATAAGAAACATCATGTTCCATTTCAGTATTGCACAAGAGCAAATCAAAACCTCATTTACCACACTGCTCCAAATGATGGGTCAACAGGGGTCAAACTCGCTGCAGTGACAGTGACTACACAACATGTAGACCTGAATGGCTTGCCTATATAGCTGAGGCGATGAGCCGTGAATTTACATGCTCTAGATGAGATGATGTCATCAAAGCAATAGCTAGTGTTTAAGTCAACTTCTGATTTTCAAAGCTTTAGATTTTGAGTTTTTTAGCAAATATACATATATATGCTATTGATAGTATTGTAATATATGGCTGATATGATGTCTGTTGAGAAATAATTAATCTATTTCTTTTTTTTTATACTACCACCAGTGTCTTTAAGATTAAATTTCCCTCAATAATTCCACTTTCCGTTATGTCTGATCTATATGTGGATATATATATATATATATATATATATATAACCCTACATGGTACATTAAGTGGACATCATAAAAATCCTAACCCTAACCCTAACCCTAACCCTAAAACCTAACCCTAACCCTAAATCTAACCCTAACCCTAACCCTAACCCTAACCCTAACCCTAATGTCTACTTAATGACTCATTTTTTCACTCCCAATGTCCTTTCAATGACGCCCTTAGTAAAATTACATATATAGAGAGAGATATATAACAAAATTGGGCCTTCTATGAGAAATAAAACGTAAAAAACGTTAAGAGGACACCAAATTGTCCTCCTAATCACAATGTCTACTTAATGACTCATTTTTCACTCCAAATGTCCCTCTAATGACGCCTTTAGTAAAATATATATATATGTATGTAATATATTAGTATTTACAGTTACAGTATTGCAGTTATTTGCGATTATGGAAATACTGAGTGGTGTGTGTTTCATGCTGACCTACCTCTTCCTCCCTTAACCCTTACTGTACTGGGCTATTTTGAGCACCCACTGACTGGGGGGGGCCTGGGAAGCCCCCCCCTATGATCTCGGCCGTCGATTGTCCGATGAACACGAAAATTTGCATGTTTGTCGATATTTACGTTAGGAACAAGATGGTATAATTAGTTTTTTCCGAATATGCAAATTTTTGTCGTTAGCCTAATTAATTATGCAAAATGCGCTAATTTTATGCATTTTACAGAAAACGTGTCAAACTCCACTTTTTGAATGTTGAAACTCATTATTCAAATGAAACTACTTTTCTAACACAAAAAAGTTATTTTAATGTAATTAATAATGATAATTTATGCAAATTTTGATGGATTTTTAATTTTTTTGGTGTTTTTCTGATGACATGCGCATACTAATTGTTATGTAACGCCTTACAGGTATATCCGATTTCGACGAAAATGGTATCAAAATGTGCGTAAGACTTGAGGAAAAAATGTCATGAAACGACATTTCAAAATTCCAAGCGGTTGCGGCGCAATCTCCGAAAATGTCGAGGGGGGGGCCTCCCAGGCCCCCCCCCAGTACAGTAAGGGTTAAATGGAAATTAACCTCAAACTAAATGTTAATTTCAGTTTGGAGGCCATTTAATACATTATCTAAACAAATATATAAAAGCATCATACATTCGACAAACGGGAGGCAAAATCCTTCTTCTGTCATCGTTTTCCTGTCGTACTTGAATGTTTTGTCCGGAAATTTCTCCACCTTCAGAGCTTTCGAGGAACAATTACAACCAAACACTTGGCAGTACACCATGTTTGACTTGTATTGCATATAACGGGCGCGCTGCGCTCTACATCAGTTCTCCTTGCGATACGTCACAACCCAGAAGTTTTGAAGGGAAATTTCTTTAAAATGGCAGCTTTCTTGGGGAGCACACGCGTCGTAAATATGTCGAAGTAGGGTCTCTTTATTGTACTTGCTAGACAATACTATTTGGCCAACAGCATGTTGTTTTACTCTCTTTGTCATGATAATGCTTCATAGTCTAGAGGTTAGTAGCCCTTTACTAGAATATTTCTCCTGTTTATCTGTGACTGCTGCGTCACGCTCTACATCATCAATGCTTTCAGGTAGAGGTTTATTGAGTGTCTCTGGCAATCCAAGATCGAAGATGGCGCAGGCTAACGCTGTTCCTCCAAATATCAAAAATGTTGTTCTAATACCCTGGCAAATAATAAAATGAGAAAGGAAATGTTTTAAAAAACTAGTTGAAAACCTGCACAATATTCAACTGTGACAACTGGGGAGGGATGGGTGTGGAATACCAAGAAAAAGAACAAAAAAATAGAAAAAAGTTTTTGTTAAAAATTATGCTGCACAATATACCATCCAATTACAAGGAGAAAGGGGTAGGGGTGAAAGTAAAACTTTAAAGATGCATAGTAAGGGCTTCTCATGGGAAATTTGACACCATTTGGGTGGTTACTCAATAGCTGTTGTCAATCATCAGGATTAGCCTTCAGTTTTATGACCAACAGGACTCACTTTTGTCGTGCTCTGCATTTTCCACCAATCGTCCCAAAACGGAAAAGTAATCATCTTACATTTCCCTCATCCGAAGACTCTCCAAGAGACTAGGGGGCATTTCTTGATCAGACCATACGTTTGTTGTGTGCGAGACTTGTTCACCCATTAATGGTATTTACACCAAGACTGGTGTCAGCGAATTATGACCTTCTGCACATGGAAACTGACTACCATTTCCCTTTAAGTAATACTATTGAAATTATTCACCTTCTATATGCAGTTCTGACTGATCATACAACCTTCAGGAGAAGAAAGCGGAGAGAAACACACAGCTTTCATGTACCTATCCCAGCAGATAATAAGAAGGTTTAAAATCAAGAGAGGCTTACCATAGGAATGATCTGTGGTGCTACAACACCTCCTATCCTAGCTGCCATCGAACAGATTCCCATCCCACTGTTCCTGTGGAAAAAATTAACAAAAAGAAGCATTTTGGTATCACTTTATTCATACCCGCAAACCTTCCAATCTAACATCTCTCATGATGAAAATAGTAATATTCAGTATTTTGATAAAGACAGTGGTATGAAGTTTCACAAGAGCTGACCACTCGTTTAAAATAGACCATACAATACCACCATTGCTATGTCAGACGCGCTGTAGCATCAACATGAAAAAGTGTAATGTGAAGGTATTGTATGAAAGCATGCAATTCTTTTGTGAGCATGTGCTGAGCTGGGGGATGTTACATACCAGTATCTTGTTAGCTCACTAATAATTGACAGATGATATCACACGATGATTGAGATCTGGAGCGTTATTATAGGGTGGAGCCTAGCAACTGTCATCCTGCCTTTAGCTCCAGCAAGCTATGCCACTACTTGGCCCCTAAACACTTTCTACCAAAATCGTTTGGCACATGTCATTCATTTGAAATCTTTAACATTCAGTGTGAGTTTTGTGGGATTCTGTGATAATGTATTTTCTATCATTATCAGAACTCAACCTTACCTTTAATTTAAAACAACTCCAATCAAAGTATAATAAACTACAAGCCCTTTGTTAACCTGAATTATGTTGATAATAAGTACATATGATTAAAGAAGTATAAAGTTTGTGCTAACCTTAACACTGTTGGTAATAGTTCTGATGAGTAAATGTAGACGATATTGAAAGCAGATGATATACCCATTTTACCAATCAGAGCCAAAGCTGTTCTGATCTTCACCCTGGTTTCATCTGTACAACAAATAATAAACATAACAAACCAAAATTGGAATAAAAAATAAGAAATACAGCTCAGAAAAAGTAGGAAACTAGTCAAAAATTAGTTCATATTGTTCTCCTTAGATCAGAAGATATACAGGCGAGACATTATCATGTACTGTCTATGACTTCATATTAATTTTAATAGTGTAAATGTTTGAAAGAAATGCAATCTAGAAGCTGTATGGGACTCTAGGCTAGAATCCTATTTTTCCAATGTATCTGCACAGAGCAATATCACAGGTTCATAGAAATGACAAAATCAGAAAGCAGAATATTGATTTTCAGCTACAGTTTATGTTGAAAAAGTCACTTTGGGTAATCAATTTTTTGATTGGATATCGCATACAGAATATAATTTTGACTATTACAGGCATGTGAGTGAGGAGGAAAAAAAAGAGGAGAGTTGTGGCATACTCCCACCAGGCTAGCATCTGGGACGTAATGTTTCACATAGGTACAGAGAGAGATTAAGTCAGATTGAACACACTTTCTTACCTTCCTTCGATATTAATAACAAACTCAAACAGGACACACCCCCTACAAACATAGAAGCTGCCATCGCTTTCCTTCGACCAGTCCTGTAGTAAAAAAAAAAACTAGACATATAATACTTGTTTGGAACAAGTATAGGTGGGCTGGTCAACTTAAATTTGAGACAAAATAGAGCAAAAATAAGCGAGATACTGCTTAAAAATTCTTAAAAAACAATATCATGTAGTTTCATGACGTGAACGAAATTCACCTTCTATAGGGATAAGGCAAATTATGAAGGCCTTTTGACATGAGGCCTTTAATCGAGATTTTCACTATGATGACGTCATCAAAATGAAAAATGGTTATTTTAAAGCTTGTAGAGAATTGTCTTAGCTACAACATATCGAAATTTTGAAGAAAATTGATCAATATTTATAGAGATGCAATCAATTTTCCATAAATATGCTGACGTCATAATATGCAAATTCGTATTTTGATTTCCAAGGCCATTGTGATGATGTCACGATACACTTAATGGCCAAATGAGACATGAAATCATATCTTCGACTCATAATCTAAATATGAAAAAAAAATTTAGGATCCCGGTGCATTCGAAAGAGCTATAATGGATTTTGTATAGGCCTGTTTTTGCCCATATATGCTATGTATTAAAAGAGCTCGCGCGCACGGACATTTATCTTGAATGGACGCTCATCTTGTTATTAATGGTCATAAAGACATGAACGTGGTATCAAATTGTACAAACAAATATATGAAATATCATGAAAGAAAAAAAAATGGCGATTCTATGTTATGTAATGGTATTACGCCAAAACGCGCGCGCATGTGCGTGTGTGCGATTTTTTATGAAATGCTTAAAATGGCCTGAAACGTATGTAAAATAAATTTGAGACGATTTGGAGCATTTTGAAATTTTGCGCGCGCACTGACGCGCGGACGTACGCGCACGTTTTTTGACCTGAAATTGACCGGACTGATATTGACCTTGATCATGATAAATATGAATGAGAAATTACTTTTGGTTATGAAGATATGATCATGAGTTGATTTTCAAAATTTTTCACAAAATGGCGCCTAGATGACGTCATCAGTCAAGGTCAAGGTCGAAAAATTTGCTGTGTTTTGTGAATATGCCTATACATATGTGTACCAAATTTTAAGATATTTGATTGAGCCATTTTCAAATTATCTTGCACACAAAAAAGTGGGTCGAAATAAGAAAAATAAATAAATAAATAATAAATAAAGGCGATTTTAACAAAAATATAAGGTGGTCTGTATTAGATACAGCCCACCTGATAATCAAAAGTCTGAATTGAATCATCCATTGTCAATTGCAAGAAGCAGGTAGGCATTGCATTTCATTAACATGTACTGTAGAGAGATATAGCTCTTCAGGACTGGTCAAGGGGACACACTCCTCAGACTCTACAGTGAAATGAGCACCTCTCACAACAAAATCATGGAAAAGTCAGGAAATAATTTACTGGAATTGAAAAAAATTGTATAAATTTTAATTTGTTTATGAAGCACCATGCATATATGTAGATTTGTGTTGCTAATCAAATGGAGAACAGTGTCCAGACAAACTAGTAAATTGACTCCAAACTGAGTAATAATCAATTTATATGAAATATAATTTGTTTGGTCTTTTTTTTTTTCCCCATATTTTTCCCTTCACAGGGATTTTATTGATTTTCATTTGAAACACATACAAAAATATATATTCAAGGTAATTTACATAATAACATAAATAAAATAAAATTGGCTTTTCAAGATACAAGTATTGTTGAGCTGTTGAGTAACAGAAAACTAACAAATCAATAATTCATTTCTAACACTCATGGAAAAAAAAACAAATACAGAAAAAATATCATTTTAAATAAACAAATTCCTGAATTGAAACCATTTTCGTGTGAATTTATTTTTTCTACAATTCGAATTTGCAATATACTTTTCGTTTTTTTGAAGTAATTCATAATCGAAACTCTAATACTATCAAAGTCATGGCAATTGCTTCTTTATTTTGCAAGTATACACCATCTGTTTGGTCTTTTACTGATCTATTAGCAGTCTTGTCAATGTGACAAGGGTAATAGAAATAAAAATGTTAAATCTGTATAACGCATGAAAAATACAATTTAATTCCCTATGCCCTTTACATTATAACATTCGATAGCACAGAGCAGAAGCTGATGCCCTGAAGGATCTGTTTCCAAAATGTATTCATGTTTACAAGGTGTAGTAGTAGTAGTAGTAGTAGCCATCTGACCGCCTTCACTTTCATGAAGGCTGCATGCAAAGGTAGGTAAGTACCTGTAGCTCTTGCAAGGTGTACAGCCAATGTATGAACTGGACTGTGTTTATGAATAAGTTCTGATATATATATACGATAGAGTGAGATTGTTCTGGATTGCAGGAGTTACCTATTGAGTACTAGGAAGCCAAAGAGATACGCAGGTAGCTCCACCAAACCAGAGAGAGCAAAGCTGATGTATACATTACTACCTAGATTACCAGCATTCATTGTCAGTCCATAGTACACCATACTAGCAGTAAACCTACACAAAACAATCACAGGATCAATTAGTAACAATGCTTATAATAAATAATAATAATAATAAAAACAATTACTTTGTATAGCGCTTAAAGGTAAAGACCAGTATTGGAAACGCTCCAATTTCAAAAAATGAAATGGAAGCTCTCATTACCAATCATGTGAAAGAATATGTTTTGACTAATACATGATGATAAAAAATTTGCAGGGAAACCGCCTACTAATTCATATATTTGGTGAATTTGTTTCTCTCATGGTCTGTGAGAGATATAGGGTAGTCCCATATACATCTTTCTGTGTATAGTGCTTGTAACTTTACAAAGAATGGACCAATTTTTTTTATCATTTAGATGATTCCAGAACCTTGCAGATGCTAGATGCTAGATGCTAGATGATCAACCTTTTCTGATCGATTCCACAACGTTTCTTTCACAATGCAATCACATGACAACTGGTCTTTACCTTTAAAGCATGTGATTGTGATCCACCATTTCTCCACTCCAACGTATTCAGAACATGGCAGCCCGTCTCATTACCAAAACCAGAAAATATGAACACATAACTCCTATTCTCAGATCTCTTCATTGGCTACCTATTTTAACTCGCATTCAATTTAAGATTCTTTTGTTAGTATTCAAAATTAAACATGGTTATGCTCCATCATATTTAAACGACCTTCTCAAACCTATTGTTCCATTACGTTCATTACGGTCAACTACACATGCTAATTTCCAATACGCCCCTGGTCCCCGAACAAATACCCGTTACGGAGATCGTACTTTTGCCATTGCAGCCCCTAAATTATGGAACAGTTTACCTATTATTATTCGTCAATCCCCATCTGTAGAGTCTTTTAAGGCAAGTTTGAAGTATTTTTTGTTTACCGGTAATAGTAATTTTATAGGGCAGTTTAATTATCTGTAATGTTATTATTAGAATTATGTATTATTATTGCTGTATGTTTATTTTACGTTGTACCTAATTACTTGTATGTTAAGCGCTTAGAAACATTGTATTAAGCGCTTTATAAATGTAATTTATTATTATTCTTATTATTGCAGAATATGAAGGCATTTTTAGAGCCATCTTTTACAGAGAAGATTTTTGTATATCTGATGTTCTTTCAAACTTGCATTATAACAATGAAAACGCTCACAAGTTATTTTTCACCTCTCCCCATAACTCAACCTTCTCTTTAGTACCACGTTTCTATGCGCTTTACAATGTAACTGTAATAAGTAACAATAACAATCATGATAATTATACGTGGGCCCGAGTCAAAACGGTTCCCCGCCCGGTCCCCAGCCATCGCGCCGAAACCCAGGTTTGAATAATCGAGTTTTGGGTTTTTCAAAATTAAAATTCACACTGACATTTTGAAATAAAGAACTAAAAATATGTAATTCCCAAACTTATATTTCAATTTAATTAAATATTCGGCAAAACCCGTGATGACTCAGGTCTAATTATACCCCCCAAAATAGTTAATATTTCAAACGTGCTATGAAATAAAGGCACCCATGCATCAAGGCATATCTTCCTATTACATTTAATTCACCTGGGTAGGGAGTGGCAATGGTAGATTAATGCTTTTCTAGATTTGATATGTTACAAGAGGAGTATAAAGCAACTGCTTCATAGCTCACCCTCTGTTTGTCTTTTAAAAGAGGACAACTCTAAATTCAAGATGATTGCATTCTCCTCTCATTGATGCCTATCAAAAATAATGAAAAGATCTCTGACTTACCAAGAGCAGATAAGAATTATCATTCTCATTCTGAGTACAGGTGTCTTGAAGCAATCCAATAAACCATATTTATCAGTCTTAGGAGTAGTCTTAGTTTCAGACAAGTTGATCATAGAGCGGGTAACTTTCATCCCATTCTTTCTTCCTATCTCATGCAAGATGTCTTCAGCCTCACTGATACGACCTTTAGATATCAGCCAACGAGGCGATTCAGGAATCACACTAGAAAAAATAAATAAATACAAATAAACAATTTATTATTCATGCCTTCCATACCTGAATATTCCTGAATCAGTTATTTTCAATCTACTACTGTTCAACATTACACACAATTGCAATATGAACTCTTCACATAATATTACATAATACATAATAATACATAATATTAAATTTAGTATTTCTACTCCATTCTTTATTTTGCTGCACTAAACTTCACAAATCTGAACCATTCATGAAAGTTTCTCTCATACAAAAACTTTCTGGTTTCAGAGACATAGGCCCTATAGACTTAACACCTGAGCACTAAAAAATTGAAGAATAGCGTTGAAAAGAGCCATACTAAAGCTTTTCGACTTGCACTCATCAGAGTAAAACGCAAGAATGAAACAGAAAGCCGAAATTGATCAATATAAACAGAAACTAAAAGGAACAAGGCACGAATATAACGATATAATGATTGGCTGTCTAAGGTAACGGTAAGTTAGGCTTATTGCCAGCCAGTTATACCGGGATAATCGCCAAAATGATACGAGCGTCTGAACAAACTCTTTCTGTCTACATACACTGTAGAAGTGGGTCGGTCAACTGAATGTGTGAGCATATACATGTACGGACTGTTATCGTTACTAACTATTTGATATCTACTGTCCCAGGGAGGGGAAAGCAAACATTATCATTTAACATCTTCAGTTCTTGCCTCCTGGTATCATGTCTTATCAAATGGACTGCATGATTTACACTGTGACCAAGCCATTGTTAATGAAACAGCAGGGGTAGGATAACATGACAAAAACTTGTCATTTAAAATTGAAACCCCCATTTGACTTTCACTTCTCCTAGAGCTAAGCCTAAAGTAAACACTAGCGCTATACAATGTAATCCCCCTGCCGAGACCTTGACAGGGGTGATAGAGAGGGAGAGGAAGGAGGAAAGGGTGCTAATTTTCACAATTTAAATTGTTGTTATATCGCCAATTCTGGGTCATTTTGCTTCGTTCAAACTTTCATTATTTTCTTCATCTAAATTATAAGTGACTTTTCAACATGAAAATATCTTAAAACAAGTAAAATATATATTTCCTACTTCTCATTTCCTTTCAGGCAGAGCCCCAGTAAGAGTTTGTTTACACTATTACGTAAGATGATGAAGAGTACAGCTGCCATCTCTCACACAGAGCTGCGAGGCTCTGTCCGAGATTTAACGAGAGAAACAAAAGTGGGGTAGTGATACCCCACCTGATTTACATTGGTTCCTGTGTTATAGTGGTGGGGTATAGTTTTAATGAGAGCTTTTTGTAATGACATACAACATGGGTTTCAGTCATCCTCATGGGCTGCATTCAAGCCTGTGATCTTAGCTTTGACAGACACATACACTACTGACTGAACCAACTCGCCTCCATGCCTTCTTTGGTACATGTAGTACTCCTTTATCAATCAACCTTAAAGGTAATACAAAGTTTTGGTATGGGGTCATGAATTTGGTTCAAATGAACATATTGAAAGCATATGCGATCCTACAATATTCAGTGAGCGTTGTCGCGGTTGAAATTGAGTCTCAAGTTATGAAATTGTAAATAATAAACTCTTTATGTTGTATAGCGCTCTCTCTCAAGGTCAAGATATTAATCAAGCCATAAAACAATGTTTCTTGACCAAAATCGACCAATTGGCTATTCCCGTTTGGAAATTACATATCACAACTACATATTCTGAGATTTTCATGGTCACAGCTACCATTGTATGGCCGTAAGCACTATTTGAAATTTATCAAAATTTACCGGGGGCACCTTATATTCAATTTTTCTTGAAAGCAGAAGTGTTTTAGGGGCTAAATTTTCTAGTGCTTATAATTCATCCACAGGGTCATCAAAATATAGCAAAATTGTAAAGAATCACTTTCCAGCCAATTCTCAAAATTTCCCAAAACTTTGTATTACCTTTAATTTAAGCTTGCATACTTGAGTAGAATGAAGAAGACTTAAAAAATGATGAGCATCATTGCTTATACTTACAAGTAGATAAGGAGGTATGCTCCAACAGGCAGAGAGGAGAGAAGAAGCAAGTTCCTCCAGTCTCGGATAAAATAGGCCATCAGTGCATACAGCTGATAAAAGAAAAGTTTTACTTGTATTAATCAACAATCAAACACAATAGAGCCCTATTTACACATAATGCAGTAAATTATTCAAAGGAAAAAAAACTAGCAACAAAACAAATCGTTATAATATAAGCATAGAGTGCTGCCGCTTCACATTACTGTATCTTGTAGCACACACATAACTGAGAATATGATCAGCCCTTTGTTGCTTACAATTAACATTACAAAACTTTTTATGGAGAATGTCACATTACACCACCCTTAACCCCCAACATTTTAGGTGACTGGTACACTTCCAACTAAAACTGCAGGGAGAGATAAAGATCGGAGGGGGGGGGGGGGGGGGGGGGGGGGGGGGTGTTTCACAAAGACTAAGATCAAATTTTACTATGGCAGGCCATTCATGCCACTTTTCTATCTCACGCTTTTACTGGCATTGGTGTCTCAAGGGATATACCAATCATGGTTACAAATTTGTGATAATTTATTATCAAAGAACAAATATTATCTAAAGATCATAATGGCGAGAGCAAACAATGGCATGCCATAGTTAAGACCAACTTAAAGTGGATCTTAGTCTTTGTGAAACTCTCCCTAGACATACCATAACACCAAGAGCAAATGTAGACGGACAACAAGTAGCTGAGAGTGCTCTATGATGTGAGCTGAGATTCTCTGTTTGTAGAACAAAGACAGATAGAATCACTCCTCCTGCACCGTAACCTACTAAGAATCTACAAGATGAGAAGCAGAAGGAAATGAAAATGTAATAACATTGTATATATACATGTTCAATAATGCCGTTTTCTTTCACTTTAAGGCACCAATCATATGTCTGGGCAATAATAGTAAGTGCTTTAACATTTTATACTGACAATTAACACAAGTACATGTATGTTACGCACCACAATTTTGTTAAGGCATATCAAATACAGCTGGCATTTCTAAGTATGATTGATGAAAAGCTATTTATTGACCAATAACAAACAAATTTGTAATATATTTACAATAATACAGATCACTTACAATGCACAGTCAATCAAGTCTACTATTCGGAGACACATTGGCCCGAATTCACAAAGGAGGTTTGTCAAATAACCTTGGTTTTCGTACGTTATATGACACATTTTTATGCGTTTTTTACAAACTTTGTTTGTAAAGAACAAAAGGAGGTTTGGCGAAACAAAAGGAGGTTTGTCGACAAACCTCCTTTGTGAATTCGGGCCATAGGGATGAGGAAAGGAATAATTTACATATCAATGAGAGAGAAAGTAAAAGAGAGAGGGAGAGAGAAAGGTAGAAATGGAGAGAGAAAGAGAAGGGTTAGAGAGGGGAAGAGGGAGAGAGAGAAAGAGAGAGAAGAAAAAATATTTATAAAGAGGATGAAGACATACCTGAAAACCAGAAATTGTTCAAATGTCCAGACCATGGCACTGAGTGTCCCTAGGACACTCAACAATGCTAGACCTATCAAGGTCATTCTTAAGCGGCCATAGTGGTCAGAGAATGACCCAAAATGGACGTTCCCAAACAGTACTCCGGCCATGAAGATGCTTTGAGCTAAACCAACCTTGTGGCTCTTCTCACATACAAGGTCCCACTATGAATGAATGAATAAAGACAAGAATAACTTCAGTTAAAATATCAGTCTCTAAGTATTATAGTCTGAAGAGGAAGATCAGGATGAATCAGAACAAAACATTGGAGAAATAAAGCTTGCTGTTAATGGAACTGAACTGAACTTACTTAAATTGAATTGAAGTGAATTTTACCCCCCAAAAAGAGAGAAAGCAGTTTTAACACTCTTTATCACAGGAATGGTGCAAACTGTTTCCATTTTTAATAAAGGATTACTAACAAAAAACAAGCATTGGGCAAAATCATTCATAGGAAACATTGATGAAAAGGAAACAACACAGGCATGTCTTGATAAGTACTCAAAGAAAAGAGTATAGATAGGTGTTGTTTCTCTGCCCACATCTACGTATCATTAGATTCATACATACATGTAGATGTGTACAAGTTTATGGATTTTTTACATAATTTACACCGCAGTATATAGCGATTGGCATTTTACGGTTAGCCACAAAGCCACAAAATGCCAGGTGCTATACTGATGGCTAAATGTAGAAATCCCTACCTTCAGAAATCATTTATGATCGACACTTGAATAATCATGAGCAGGTCTACGGTATGTTGTCTCCTATGTTGCCAAGCCCAACTGAGATTTTGGTATAACTGATGACTGTATTTATTTGATAAATCCACTCTAACTTTCCTGCTATGACAAATCAAGTTAAATGTTACTTTCTTCATTTACGCTCAGGTGCTCACGATTCATAATACAGGCAAAACTGTCTACAGGGACCGCCCAAGGGAAACAAAAAATAAGCTTGTTGTTGACAGGTGGTCTTTGTAGACAGGTTGTCACTAAAGCAGGTTTGTGACGGTACTTAGTAGCATATGGGACATCAAAAGATTAAATAATGTAGACTTGCCCTGATCTATGTGTGTTTACCTTTGTAGCGATTGAAGTGAACTCATCACCATACTTGTAATTGTCACAGGGTGGTTTCATGTGACATACATCATCATAGACTGACAGCTTATCTCCACACATCACCGTGCTCGGCTCTCGTCCTACGAACACTAGGGATAACATGTGCATCGCACCAAACAGCTGGATCGAGTTCAAGATCACCTGACAAAACAATAACAGAAACAGATTAATTATTATACAGTAGGCTTGTGGATGCACCATGTGAGAGAGAGGAAGGATTGAGGAGTCCTGAGAAAGGACGCTCTGGAATCTTTCTTGAGGGTGTAGTCCTGAAAAGGACTGTTGGTGTAGTCTTGAAAAAACTGTTGGTTATCTTTCTTAGCTTATAATTCTAAGGAGAACTATAGCGCTTGGAGAGGATGGGTGGCAGGAGTGGCTCGACGTTTCGGACAAGTTGACTATCCGTCGCCAGGAGTGTCAGGAAATTAATTATTATTACTATTATTATTTCTTTGGCCATACAAAAATCACAGCATATACAAAGTTAACATAATTATTCAATTATCTTAGAAATAATAGAGAAAGAGAAGGAAATGAGAAGCAAGGAAAAGAGGAAAGAAATGGTTCCCTACTTGTAGATAGGCCAGGCAGGGTTCACTGTTGAACGGAGGCATGCAAGCCCTCAGAGGAACAGGTGGAATGTAAATCACATTCATGACTGAACAAGAAAATCTACTTTCACAATGCATGACTAAAGATGTCACTTCATACACTTCCCCTACTCTTATTCATTGGTCATAGTCATTACAAATTAACCACAAATGGTGGTATGGGAAATACACGCTTTCTATTGTCCAGTAACCTGATAATAACCTGATATGTATTTTGAACCAGTTCCAATCATTCAATCTAACTAATAGCTGCCTATCATGTATTCTTTTATTTGACACCTTCATCAATAAATTGCCACAGAGAGCTAAACACCAGTATTTTTACATTTTAAATTTGCCCTGCCAAAGTTTTGAATAATGCATTGTTCAACGCAAAGATTGGTTAAAACCAGAATTGTCCTGACTAGCACTCACATTAATAAATGCCCTTACAGGTACTCATAATTACACTAACTCCTGAACATCAATCATCCTAAACTTGGGCAATGGAAATTTTGGCATGGTGTTTTTTTCCTTTAAAAATGGCCAGTGCTTTTCTCATCCATGATCACATTTTGTGGGCAGCCTATCAAATGAAAGAAGATAGTATCAACTATCATACCAATACCATGATTATATTTCAGCATTTTTACTTGGTTTTTCTTGAGGCTATTTTGCAAAATGGCATTCCATTCCAGAATGATAAGTGGTCAACTTACTTGTTGTATTTTCTGAGTGTAACCAAACTCTCCTACAGCTTTCATAGCATCATCAAAACCCATCTTCAATCTGAAGGAGAAAAACAAACAAAAACATGGTATTTGAACATTTTATTATTTGGTTGCAGTGGTTGTAGGACGCATGATTCGGTGACAGTTCATCCGCATCAATTTCTTACAAATTCTTGACTCCAATCCTGGACCAAACATCTAAATTGCTGAATATGCACGAGGTTGAATTGAGAAGGGTCGTGGGTATTTACATTCACTGCTCTGTTTGTTCGAGTCGTGCATATTCAGCAATTTTGAACAACCGGCGCTCTGTATAGCATGAATATTCATATTAGCTGCGCCGCTTCCGCACATGTGTACCTTCTTTTCGTCATTTTGAATTGACACTGCAACATGACAGAATCGTTGGGGTAGGACTCAGAATAACCCTCTTATTCCCATCGAAGACTTCTTCAAAGTTCAAATTATAATTTCAAGTAATCTCCCGATGCTCAGAGGAGTAGAGCAACCTATTAAGTCAAAATAGTCTACTCCCTTTGCAGATTCAAAGACAATCACCTAGACCTAATCGGCCGTTTTAATAACCCCATGGTTGATCTACTGAAGCTCTGATGCCTTCGGCATGGGAGCTTCCTGGAGTTAATATGACTCTCTATGCTTTCCTGGAGTGCGAGAACCCCAAATTATACGTCTTTAAAAGATATTTAGATCTAAGTAATATTGACTGCCTTCTGGGCAATACGACATAGACCCTAGTCTATATCGCCCAAACCGATCGGGCAATAATATGTGTTCATTGGTTTACTGTATAACCGTATTGACCTGCAAATTACACAAAAAATCCCATTGACTTTTCAGATCGGGCAATAATATTTGTTCATTGGTTTACTGTATAACCGTATTGACCTGCAAATTACACAAAAAATCCCATTGACTTTTCAGATCGGGCAATAATATTTTGTAGTGATTCAGCCTGAGCCACTACGGCTCTGGCGGCATATGCGCGTAAGTCCCGCATTCCATTAGGCGACACCCGCGGTAGTTTCCGCGGGCGTGCTTATCACTGGGAACGTTAGATTGAACCTGAGACTGCACGCGACAAACACTGTTGATTGCCCGTCTCTTCTGTCTCTTCGGTCTACTAGCGACGGTGGAGCTCCACTCAACGAGCAACACTTCAAGCGCTTCTTGAGACAGACTTCAAGCAGTATAGTATACAGCCTATGGTAGGATAAATCCTTATTATAGTCGTCTATGTAATTATAGTTAAGATTTAGGCCCAGTAAGTTATATTCCGCTCCTTCACTACAATGGCGTAATCGCTAATTTTTTTTCCGAACCTGTTCGGGCTAGTTTTTTTATCGCGCACGTTTTTGAGCCGCCATCTTGTCGGCGTTCACTCGTGTGTTGAAGGGATTTTCTATTTTTGTAATTTCATTCGTAGGGCCTTGTAAGCTTGTTTATTCCCCATTTGTAGTTGATTAGTGCTGTAGATTAGTATTTTAGGGACTCGTAGAGTATTTTCAGTGCTGTATTCCGATTTTTGGGTACTCATTTCGGTGTTTTGGGGATAATTTTTTGTGGTCGCACACATGTCCGAGCCGCCATCTTGGATACGTTGACTCGTGTGTTGAAGGGATTTTTTATTTTTGAAACTTTTTTCGTAGGGCCTTATAAGCTCATATTTTTTCATTTCTTGTCTACTTAGGGTTGTAGGATAGTTTTTTAGGGACTCGTTGGTATTTTTACGGCCGTATTTCGATTTTGACATCGGTTTCGGTCAGTTTTTGTACTTGAATTTGCTCGTTTTTTTTTCTACTCACTAGACTAGTTGTACAGCCGTTTTTTGTCGTGCTCGTAGTTTTGATCCTCTCGCCAGAGTTTTATACTGTGGAGATAATTCCACGGTGTTCTTTTTCGGTGAGGTATAGGGTCGGTTAAGTAGAACTTAGTAAGTAGGGGTAGGCTCTATTTAGACTAGTTTCAACCCTCTTGCCGAAGTATTATTACCGTGGAGATAATTCCACGGTGTTTTTTCGGTGAGGTATACTATGGGTATAGGGTTGTTTAAGTAGGAGTAGAATTAGTGAGTAGGAGTATAATTAAATTAGTTTCAACCCTCTCGCCGAAGTATTATTACCGTGGAGATAATTCCGCGGTGTTTTTTCGGTGAGGTATACTATGGGTATAGGGTTGTTTAAGTAGGAATTTTTTAGTAAGAAACTAAGTAAGATTATGAAAGAAACTAAGTAAGATTTTGGAAAGAAACTAAGTAAGTTCTTACTTTTTAAGTAGGCAATAGGTCTTTCCTGTAAGAAACTAAGTAAGAAACTAAGTAAGCAAGTATTTTCCTTTAAGAAACTAAGTAGTCTAAGCAAGAAGTATTTTCCTTGAAGGAACTACGTACGTTAGTAAGTAAGCAAGAAGGAAGGATTGGGTAGGTACCTAAGTGGGATTTTTGACTGTCAGTCTTGTTTTGGATATCTGTGGATTTTGGGTTAAATCGTGGGTGGTATTTAATTTCATCTTCATTTCATCATTACTAATATTGTACGGCCATCTCGCCGAGCATTATACCGTGGAGATAGTTCCGCGGTGTTTTTCGGTGAGGTATATTGCCGGTTTAAGTGTAGTCCTTTAGTGTTACTTAGTAGGGTTTAGTTTTGGCCCGCTCGCTGAAGCTGTTCACCGTGGAGATAATTCCGCGGTGTTTTTCAGTGAGGTTTAGGGTTTCAGTATTTACCTGTCAGGCACTTAGTAAGCTATTAGGAAACTAAGTAGGGTATTATTAAGTAAGCAAGAAGGAAAGATTGTATGTGTATTTAATTTTATCATTTGGTTATATAATCGTTGCTGATTTGAAGCCGGTTATGACCTCGGAGAGGGTTAAAGTGAATTATGGGACTGAGGAGGCTTTACTGGCCGTTGTGGATAGAACTAAGTCCCACAAGATTTTTAGTTGGAGGGAGCAATGTGGGAGTTTAACTGAGGAGTTATTTTTGCAGTGTCCCCGTCTCCATGAAGCCAAGGAGCTGGTACATTTATTTGATTTTGAGCCTTATCGGGTGGATCAGGCTGAGCAGGCACAGGGGGTGGGGGAGGGGACTGGGCAAACCTTGACTGCACAAACCCAGTCTGTCCAGAGTCCGGGTCCCGTTCCTTATGGGCATACAGTGTACCCCCCATTTTCGGGTGAAGGCCCAGCTGGGCCTATATCCGGGTCTGCGCCCTCCCCAGCCGGGCCCTCCGCCGACTATCGGCTTAGGGATGATAGCAGTGTACCCTCCAGGGAACCCCCACGTAGGGATTGTCCCTCTTCTAGGGATTTCCCTCCTAATAATCATGGTCCATCTTCCAGGGAACCCCCCCGTAGGGATTATTATTATCCCCCGTCTAGAGAATCCCCTTCTAGTAATTGTGGTCCGCTTTCCAGGGAACCCCCACGTAGGGATTATGTATATCCCCCTTCTGGGGAATCCCGACCTGACATTCAGTATCCTCCCAGGGAATCCTCACCTGTGGGTCAGGGAGAGTACCGGTCGCAGGGGCGCCGGGATTGGCCCCCCCGTCTGCCGAGGTCACTTAATTACGATGGGCGAACAAGTTGGCATTCCTTTCTCAGGAAGTTCACCAGTTATGCTGTATCGTGTCAGTGGAGTCCAAGCGAGTGTTTGGATGCGCTAGGCTGGTGTTTGGAGGGGTCGGCCTCAGATTGTTTTTCGAACCTTAGGGATATGGGCGCTAATTCTTATTACCATATGTTAACAGCGATGGGGCGTCGGTTTGGGGCTACCCGATTTCCGGAGGAGGCCATAGCCGAATTTCGAACGGCTCGCCAACTCCCGGAGGAGTCTCTTCTTGGGTGGTCCGATCGGCTCCAAGCTTTGTCCTTTGAAGCTTTTGGGTGGGACCAACGGGGTGACAGCACTCAAATGGTATTGCAGTTATGCCAGGGTTGTACAGATAAGGCGGCGGGTTTAACAGCTCTCAATACGCGCCCGAAGTCCGTCGAGGAGGCCCTGGAAGCCATCAGGTGGGCGCAACATACCCAACGTGTTGTTTATGGGAGCGAGGCTCGCCGTACGTATTCGGCTTCTCGGCAGCAGGTGCAGCAGACTTGCATGTACGATCAGGAGGTGGACAGGTATGATACGGTAATTTATCATCATAGGCAACCCCATCCCCTAAATCATTCCCCAACAGTTTCCAAAGGTCAAGATGTTCCCCGTCCGGCTCCTGTGGAGGACCGGGGGAAGGTCACAACGCCTTTTGAAGTTCAGGCCAGGAATGACATTGGCTATTTAAAAGAGGAAGTCGCCAGTCTTAAGACGCATGCGTACAATACCGATTGTATGCTAGAAGAAATACTGAAGACTGTTAAGTCTTTGGAGTTTTCTATGCTTTCCAATGCCCGCCCTCTATCTCCCGTGGCTACTGGTGTTCCGGAAAACCTGGAGGGGTCGGAGAGCGAGGCCGATCTCCGATCTGGAAACCGAGAGGCCTACAATCGGTAAATACTGGGGTAGTTAATGTAGTTAGTGACCCGCCTGACTCTTCGGTCGGTCCCTTGGACAAGGTAGTTAATGTTAGTGACCCGCCTGACTCTTCGGTCGGTCCCTTGGACAAGGTAGTTAATGTTAGTGACCCGCCTGACTCTTCGGTCGGTCCCTTTGTCAAGGTAAATAATGTTAGTGACCCGCCTGACTCTTCGGTCGGTCCCTTTGTCCAGGTAGTCGCTAGGACGGCCGTGGTGCCTCCTTCTAGTGGGAAGCGGGTAGGATGTAAGGTTGTTGGAAGTCCAGGGCTCCAGAGTAAGGACCTTTCCCTTTTCCAGCCCACCCACAGGCTCCCATTTTGGATTCCTCGGATCGTGTTTGATCGGGGGAAATAACATGTTAAGTATATATATTATGGTTCATTATTAAAGCCATTCACAACGGCTCGTCCGCGAGGACATGGTGCCGGTTCCTGTTCCTGGGAAATAACATGTTTGTCTTAAATATATATATTTTAGTTCACTTTTGTTTACACTGTTTAATTTCATTGTAAATCGTCCATTCTGAGTTCCTGAACTTTAAGTGTTGATGTTTTTAAACTGAATAGATAACAATTAAATAAAACTGAAAAGTTTCTGCTTCGGTTAGCGGAGTTATCTATGCTGAATTAGCTGCTCCGCTTTAAGAGCTGACTAGGAAGCATTCTTTCCACAGGGAGACAGAGCACTCATGTGTGTTCGAGGCCATAAAATGGCCGGCTTTTGATATCTCCCAAGTGACACTACGTGGTTCCAATAATAAGTCAGAATGTGATCATGTTTTGGGGGAGTAATTCCTCTGGAGTAATTCCTCTGGATCAACAAGAGCCTTTTGGATTTGCTTGATGGTGTTTTGGGCCTGGGTGCCCTGAATGTTATCAGGAACTTGCCGGTAGTGGCTATTGTGCCCCCGGGTGCCGAGTGGCCCAGGAAATGTAATCTTATTTTGTTGAAGTGTTTTCACCTTCTATATCATTTTCCATCTGATTTCAGTGATCTGCTTTTATCATTCTAATACTTCCTATATGCACCGTTTGGACTGCCTGTAGGGAGCCGTTTGGCTCTCATGTGGGATTGCCCAGTTTCTGGACACTGTACCATCCAAACTGCACTTGGGGAATGGGGAGCCATGGGGCTCTTCCCCTTTTCTGCACACTTATTGCCATTCATCGTTTATGTTGATCACTCACACTTTCATGCTCGGTCACCTTGGGAATTTAATGTAATGCCCCGGTTAATCCCTTATGCCCGTGCCAAGAAGTTTTGCAATTTGTCATTATGTATAATCGGCACGGTAAGGGTTAACTGGTATATTTCTGTTTCTTTATGCCTGTAATGCCCCGGTTAATCCCTTACGCCCGTGCCAGGACTGCTATTCTTTGTCATTTACACGTGACACCGGCACGGTAAGGGTTAACTGGTATATTTCTGTTTCTTTCTGTTCTTGATCCCTGGGACATTTCCGGGACTTGAATCCTATTTAGTACTTAAATATACCAAATTGTGGAATACAGTGCATTTTACATTTTACAGTGCATTTTACCTGTACTTTAAATAATATTTCCCGTACCAAAGTTTGGAATACAGTACGTTGTAAGGTATGATAAAGGCGCCCGCCCCCTGGAAAGACCAAGACTTCACTGGTGCTGGCAAGGAGGGTCCTTGACCCATCCACCAGCGGGAACGGCGTGACCCCGCACTGCGGTACGGGAGTAGTTTTAAGTTAGTTTTAGTTTAGTTTTAGTTAGAAGTAGGCTTCAAACTCATTAAGTGGGGAATAATGTAGTGATTCAGCCTGAGCCACTACGGCTCTGGCGGCATATGCGCGTAAGTCCCGCATTCCATTAGGCGACACCCGCGGTAGTTTCCGCGGGCGTGCTTATCACTGGGAACGTTAGATTGAACCTGAGACTGCACGCGACAAACACTGTTGATTGCCCGTCTCTTCTGTCTCTTCGGTCTACTAGCGACGGTGGAGCTCCACTCAACGAGCAACACTTCAAGCGCTTCTTGAGACAGACTTCAAGCAGTATAGTATACAGCCTATGGTAGGATAAATCCTTATTATAGTCGTCTATGTAATTATAGTTAAGATTTAGGCCCAGTAAGTTATATTCCGCTCCGTCACTACAATTTGTTCATTGGTTTACTGTATAACCGTATTGACCAGCAAATTACACACAAAATCCTATTGACTTTTCTGAGCGGTCAATAATATTTTTTTGCCTAGTTTTGTTGAGGGCAATAACATTTAAAAATTGCCCTGCTCAAATGTCTTATAGGTCTACTGTTAACCTTGACGTTATATCCTGACTGATGGATCCTGTCAAGTACCGACGTAGAAGTAAAAGTAATCTAACGAAAGCAGTGACACGTATACGTACACGGCCCAGAACACGGCCACGGCTAGACCGAAAGCTTCAGTCTCTATAATCGTCGGTTGTTCCACTGAGACTACGTCTGGCTCCACTAGACCTCCGGTTATAGAAGGTCTAGTGGAGCCAGACGTAGTCTCAGTGGAACAACCGACGATTATAGAGACTGAAGCTTTCGGTCTAGGCCACGGCCAGCGCCACAAGGCCAAGCCAGGAAGCACGGCGGCGGGACGTGGATCGTACGCTACTCGCTAGCTCTCGCCTCTGCGTTCACGTACTAGCTCGACTGCTATTCCGGCTGCAAAGTGTAATTGCAAAGCCCAAATTGATTATTTTTACAACTTACTTGTGTATCGCTGGTCTTAATAGATGTAATTTTGGTGCTCCTTTGCTTTTCTCATTTGTAACAGCCTCACTAGATTCTAGATTAGACTCGGCTCACACGATACACGTACAGCACTGCTTGTCATGTGGATAGCATACGAAGAGCGGCACTAGAGGTCGGGGGCGTGGTCAAGTCAAAATATACGTCACACTTCATGCATATTCATTGTACAGCGCGCGCGATACAAACTCGAACACGTACGGTATGTAACAGCTGATTTATATTATTTTGCTCATCCCTAGCTTGATGTTGAGGATAGATGTCCAAAATACTTTGTTTAATCATAAAAGAGAAATTTTAATATGAATTTTAGTGCAGCCATTGATCAATCGGTTCAGTGACCATTACTTACAATGCAGGTTTTTAACAACAACAAGAATCTTTTTTTTTTCTTTTCTTTTTAGAATTAAAGAAAAAATACAAATTCTAATAAAACAGATGGTTATGTATCCTTTGAGGTCCAGTATATTTACGTTTGCTCCTTTATTACTCAGCATGCATAACAATAGCTGGACACAAATATGTCCTGCAACTAATAGTGTCCATGCAGTATTATGTGATTAAGTGATGTGGGGACATTTTTGTATCATCTATGAATATGTTTAAGTGGTACATTTGACATGTTCAGGATATAAATCTATGAGCTTCAGCGACCTGAATTCCTTTTGATGCTGTAGCACTGGAAAGGCAAAGTCAACCTCAGCCCTTAACCAAAACCAAAAAATGAGTTTGTATGTATTCAAGTTTCCATCGAATAACATATAATATTCAAATCCATGAACAAGTTATAGTATTGGTTATCTGTTCATTTCAACAATTCATGTCATAGTGAAAATAATCAGTTACTAGGGCCTGACTATGAAGTTGTAAAAAGCAAAGGGAAATATGTCAGAGCAAATAAATATGATTTTTTTTTTTTTAATTGAACGAAACCCTTCATAGTTTCATTGAGCACTGTTAAAGATGATTCCTTTTTTGCTCATATAGAAACCAGCATGAGTATTATACATGTTGATGTGATTTCAAGGTTATACTCCTCATGTCTTTGTAAAGGTTGTTTTGACTGACAACCGACAAGTATTCAACTCGTGCTTATTATCGATGTAGTCAACACATTGGCTCTAATGAATGCATCAGTAAGTGTTTCAGTATCTCATATATTTTATATGCATTTCTTAGTTGTTTTTTTAAAAAATCAAAAAAATAATGATAGTCAAATTGGTAATTACGTGTTGTAATTTGAGGTTTAAGAGTTTAGACAAATATATATAAAAAATATCACTGAAAACAAAACAGATATAAATATAAATATAAATATATATTAAGAAATATATAGCTCATAAATTCATTTTAGCATGAGCTATTGAAAAGCCCAAATACGTCGTCAGAAAGGTGATACTGTCATTCTTTCTGCTCTCAATTATATTTTAACCCAACCCTGCACGCAAGATGGTGAATAATTGTGTGGTTTTTTTTTTTGGGGGGGGGGGTTGTAATATTTTGTAAGGCCAGCCATAAGAACTTGGGGGGGGGGGAGCTAACATAATAAAGAGAAAATAGATTACTTATTTTTTATTATTGTTGTGAAATACTTGATATTGGATACTTGATATTTTATATTGTCAGACTGGGCATATTATGTTTGATACTAAAGTCATTTGCTGAAAAAGTTAAATTTATACAATCCAATACTGTGGTATCACAGGCAGGGGCGGCGATTTCTTTTCATGACCGGGGGGGGGGGCGTAATGTAAGAGACGGGGGAGCAGTGGCGTATATATTGAACAAAAACGGGGGGGGGGGGGAATCCGCATCCCCACTCTAACATTGTACATGCAGGCCTCGCGGAACGTTTTTCATAGAGGGGGAGGCTAAAGTATTTTATTAGGTAGAGCAAATGGAGCATAGCAAGTGGAGCGTAAAGTGGCGTGTGGTCCAGGGGCGTAGGCCCATGAAGCTCAGGGGTTTTAGGCATTTAATAACGGTCAGATGAGCATCCAGGGGCTCGTCATAGAGCCCCTGGTGGGGTCCAGGGGCGTAGGCCCATGAAGCTCAGGGGTTTTAGGCATTTAATAACGGTCAGATGAGCAAACAGGGGCCAGCCATAGGACCCTTGGTGGGGTCCAGGGGGCAGAGCCCCCAGAAGCTCAGGGAAAAACCATACCATTTCAGCAACATTTGTAAATCACTGGTATCGAGTTAGAAATAAATCAAGTTTTAATTTTATCAGGGGGGCAACTGCCCCCCAAGCCCCCCCCCCCCCCCCCACCCTCCTCATCATTACGCCAAGGCGAGAAGGCAAAGTGAACGAGAGGGGTAGAGGTTACGGAAGTGACTATCCCCTCACAGGTTTTTGAAGTTTTGTTGTATTAACAAATTACATACTTTAATTAGCAAAAGAATAGTATAAAAACAAGCAATATACCTTTTTCACACTTCACTTTTCTAGAATATTTACTGTACACTTTAGAGTATATTATGCGAGGGAGCGTAGCTCCGGAGCGAGAAAATTTTTGCATTTTTATTTGTCTAAACGCTGCACTCTAGGGCCCTCCAGAACCTAAAAGTTTGTTGCAGTCTTTAGTCAGTATTTGATATACACTTTTTTTCTCACTTTTTCAATTTTTCAGGGAGGGACGATCCCCCCCTAAAAAAAAATGAGGGGGGGGGGGGGGGGGACGTGTCCCCCCGTCCCCCCGGGATCGCCGCCCCTGATCACAGGGTTTGTAGCATATTTATATTTTTTTTCTGATCCAATCTTTGAAAGAAAACAAACTTTTAATTAAAAACTAGTTCTGTGGTAAAGCACATTCTATTTTTTTATTAGGTCACAGTTTTTTTCTTCCAGTGTAAATTTGAGTTGATGGAGAAGTTTGTTAACAAAATCTTTGTTAAGTATATAAAAATAACGTTCATCGGTTCAGTCTAAAAACTCCATACATAATCTATGCGATACATTACCATTTTATAATGTGAACTTAATGGCAATATAATAACACTCAACCAAGCAGAATATTTGTTTGTGATCTTTATTTTTTAGGTTGTTGAAATTGATTTACATGTAAATGTTTATGTAGTTGAATGTTTAAAATGAGCAAAAATTAAGTGGGAACAAAACTTTAAAACATGATCTTATCAAGTTTTATGGAATGAATGGTTAGAACGCAGTTTTTTAGAAGATACTACAGTAAATTATACACAACAGGTTATAGGAGCAGAACGAGAGGTCAGGTCTGTCATATAAAGAACACATTAATAAAGGAGCAGAACTAGAGGTCGTATGAGCGGCACTAGCGGTCGGGTCTGTCATATAAAGAACACATTAATAAAGGAGCAGAACTAGAGGTCGTATGAGCGGCACTAGCGGTCGGGTCTGTCATATGAAGAACACATTAATAAAGGAGCAGAACTAGAGGTCGTATGAGCGGCACTAGCGGTCGGGTCTGTGATATAAAGAACACATTAATAAAGGAGCAGAACTAGAGGTCGTATGAGCGGCACTAGCGGTCGGGTCTGTCATATAAAGAACACATTAACAGAAGCGGATCTAGAGGGGGGGGGGGGGGGGGGTTGGGGGGGTTGCAACCCCCCCCCCCCCCCAAAAAAAAAAAAAAAAAAAAAAAATCCGGGGACCATTTTTTTTAAATCTTATCTTTTTTTTTAAACTTGTAATTTTATTTTATTCTATTTCTATGTATTTATTTCATTTATTATTATTATTATTATTATTATTATTATTTCTTTTGGGGGGAGGGGGGGGGGGGTTGGGCGAACAAATGTCACAGAGTCCCTTGCCCCCCCCCCCCCCCCCCCCCCCCCCCCCCCCCCCCCCCCCCCCCCCCCCCCCCCCCCCCCCCCCCCCCCATCAGCTTTTTTGAGGACACGGGCCACCGCCGAAGTGACAAGCTAGGCCAGCGTTGCCGATTCTCATCCCCAAAATCCCCACATTAAAAAAAAAAAAAAAAAATTGGGGGATTGTTGAAGTCTTTGGGGATGAAAAATAAATATTTGGGAATGAAAATAATATTGAGTTTTATGAAAAACGAATTTGGGGATTTTCTGTCAAAATTTGGCAACTTTGGGGATATTTTAAGTGTCGTTTGGGTGGGGATTTTGTGAAGATTTAACCTGGCAACGCACGCTGAGCTGGGCTGCTCATTTCCTGGATTACTTGTTCAAGTTGCTCACTTTTTTATCAGTCTGGTCTGAGTGTAGTGACAAGCAATATGGAAGCAAACAGGGCAAAGAAGTTGCGGCAATCCAGTCTCGCATCTTTTTTTACTGGAAGGTATGTTTGAATCATGCAAAAAAGTTGGCATACAGGGTAAATTACCATACATGGGGGTGTAATACGGACGTGTTCATGCACTGCTTTTTATGGTCTCCATTGTGTTAATAGATGCCAGGAAAACATCACTTACGGGGTTCAAATAAACACCCAAAAAAAATCGGCTGGCCGCTTCGCGGCTCGTGGACGATGCTCCGCATCGTCATTATTGGTCAACCCCCCCCCCCCCTTAGCAAAAAGCTAGATCCGCCCCTGATTAATAAAGGAGCAGAACTAGAGGTCGTATGAGCGGCACTAGCGGTCGGGTCTGTGATATAAAGAACACATTAATAAAGGGGCAGAACTAGAGGTCGTATGAGCGGCACTAGCGGTCGGGTCTGTCATATAAAGAACACATTAATAAAGGAGCAGAACTAGAGGTCGTATGAGCGGCACTAGCGGTCGGGTCTGTCATATAAAGAACACATTAATAAAGGGGCAGAACTAGAGGTCGTATGAGCGGTACTAGCGGTCGGGTCTGTCATATAAAGAACACATTAATAAAGGAGCGGAACTAGAGGTCGTATGAGCGGCACTAGCGGTCGGGTCTGTCATATAAAGAACACATTAATAAAGGGGCAGAACTAGAGGTCGTATGAGCGGTACTAGCGGTCGGGTCTGCGATATAAAGAACATATTAATAAAGGGGCAGAACTAGAGGTCGTATGAGCGGTACTATAGCGGTCGGGTCTGTGATATAAAGAACACATTAATAAAGGAGCGGAACTTGAGGTGTTTCTTTAGATCTTCTACA